CCCGCCGTCGGCGGTGGCGTCGTCGGGCTGCAGGCCGCCGGGGCGCGCCGCCTTCTTCACCTCCACGAAGGCGCTGCGCTTGGCCTCGCCCGTCTCCGGGCTGGGCGGCGCGAACAGGCGCCCGTTCTCTTCCAGCCCGAAGTAGCTGCCCGACGCGCGGTACTGCTGCGGGGTGCACACCAGGTCCTCCTTGGAGGCTGGCAGGGGCCGCTCGGCGAAGCGGGCCCGGCCCCCTACCACCCCCGGACCGCCGCCCCCCTCCGCGGCCTCCTCCGGGAATTTCCTCTTCCCTTTGCAGCCGCCGCCCGCGCCGATGCCGTCGGGACTCAGCTCCGCCTCCTGGTGGCCGGGGCCGCCGCCGCTGCCCAGACTCTGGGCCGGGGAGCAGCTGCTGCTGCCTCCCCGCGAGTTCTCCAGTTCCCGAGCGAGGTTGTGGAAGTCCGTGGATGGCTTCGCGCTGGCGCCGCCGGCGTTGGCGGCTGGGGTGCTGCTCTCCGGGGAGGGGGCCGGGTAGTGGTGGATGGGGGGCCCGGCTTTGCAGAACTTGGGACCCAGCGAGGCCTCCTGTGGCTGCTGCTGTGGCTGCGGCGGCGGCTGCTGCTGCTCTTTGCCGCCGCCCCCGTGGTCCTTGGTGCCCAGGCCGCCGCCTTGTTCGTCCGGGGGACTCAGGTCGCCGCTGTGAAGTCTCTTGGGGCAGCGGAAACGCAGGTGCGCCACGTAAGGGAACTCAAACTGGAAACGTTGGCTGCATTCCAGGCATGTGTAGGGGGACGACCCTGCTTGGCAAACACACACACACACACACACACACACCACGATTACTCAGAGACGTTCCCAGGCCATTTGCCTTCATCCCTCCCCTCCCCCCTTCCACAAATCCACCTTTCTCCCTTTCAGACTCCCAGTGCCCAAGGAAAGAATCTACTATCCAATCTGACCTCATTCTTCCCTCCCGATTTAGGGGAGCCACATAATCAAGCCCCAACTTATCTTCACCTGTCTGTCCTGGAAGCTTTCCATCTGAGACGCTTCCTCGGAGATGCCAAAGGTGGGCCAGAAGCACCAGCCAAGGCTCAGGGGGGTGAGTCCCTACTCCCTCTGCGATCCTCTCTACCCAACTAGCCAAGGACCCACAGGTGAAGTCTTGAGCCAACTTACCATTCATTTTGCTGTGGGATCTAGAGGGGCAGAGCAAGAGTAACTCAGTCAGTTCTTTCCCGTACCAAACTAGTAACTCCTCGTCTTTGGCAATCCTGCGGAGAGAGCGGTAAAACAGCTGTCCGTTTTTGATATACGCTTCGAGGTTCTGCTCTTCCTTGTCTCTGGCTGATTGGACCAGTCGAAGCCACATGAGACCTTCTGAGGAGCCATTTGCAGCGGAGGTGTCTACCTATAGTTGAAAACCGAAGAAAGAAGACAAGAAGAAAAGGAAACCCGCGTGAGAGACTGAAGCCACAGGAGCCAGGACCATTTCTTCTGGCTTTGCAAAGAATTATCTGAGGCCAGCCTACCGACAGTCAAACCAGCCCAAGTGTTTGTAACTAGTAGGCAAGATAACTATCCATTGAGACACTGTAGCCATTATATAGATCGTTCACGTGATCATTTTCATATATTGTTGAATAAGAAATGAGCAACGTTTCTTCTTGCAATGCAGATTAGTATTAGCCTCTCCAGAATTTCCTCCAAAGCTGTTGCACTGTTAAAGTAAGTAGAATTGTGTTTCTGAAGTAAAAAGCAAGTGTAGGTCATAGAAATCATTCTATGCCCTCCCATCTTGCTAATTGTGGTTTGAACCGTTAAAAAGGTTTTGTTTTTTTTTGTTTGTTTTAGAGAAAGAATAGGGGGCGAGAGGCCTGTTGTCTTCGAATTCAAACAAATGGACTTATTGATGTTTTACTGTCCAAACAAGTACATTTTTACTTAATTAGAACCTCTGGGCACTAGTTAATGTTACTGAAGAAACTAAAATGTAGTAAGATGCCTCTTAAATCAGAATGTAACATGACCAATACTTTTTAAAAAGTACTTAACACCAATACCCTCAGCCCAGTGAAATCTCCCTATTAGTGTAGAAAGTCTTGATCATCAAGAGGAAACCTGTCTGAGGTACTCTTTAGGACATATTCAGCATCCCAAATCAAATGTTGCCATTTGTTCCACAACAATCGTTACAATTCGAGTTTTCTTTTCCAATTATAATCAATTACAATTTAAGTATACATTTTTTTACTCTTTGAAAAAATTTCGGTATATACACCAGGATTGCTTGCATTTCTGCATTATTTTTTGTCTTCAAAGACTGCACTTGTCATTAAAATGATTCTTAATCGGTTTTCAACAGGATATTACCCCCCATCTGCCTCAGCTGCTCCAGCTGAGACTTACCCGGAAGATATAGGGTACTGTTCTCTTGTCCGTAGACTTGAGCGCTATGAAAGCTATGCTGTCATATAGAGAAGTGTGGCTGAGAACACAGGGACCGAATATAGCATTCTCCGGGATGTCACAGGTTGTATAAACACTGGTAAAAATATCTGTTAGACATTGTTGCACAGCCTTGGCGTCTCCATCCCAGATGCCTCGCTGGATTCCCGAATCCTCCATCACTGGAGACAGACACAAGGACAGGGAAGCGAGTTACACTCTTGCCTTTACGGCTACAACCGCAACCGCAGCCAGAACATTTCAGTTACCAGACATATTTTTAACACACTTGCATAGCTCCTGTGCTAAACAAATAAAGCAAAGTAGTCTGACACGTTCCAAATATGCCAATTTTAGAAGTATTTTCCTTTATCTTTTAATGATCAGAAGCCCTCTAAATGCTAGGGAGAATTTGCTTAGAAAGACTAGCTTATTTCTGCATTAGTTTGGGAATGGATGGAGAGTACTTTGGGGATAAAGGCTAAGGATATATATATATATATATATATATATATAAAATATAGACTTTCCTGACTAGAGAAAAACTTCTTGCCCTTGGGGGAAAGCTCTATTACTCTTGTATATTGAACTCGATGCCTGGAAGCTGGTTTTCCCCCCTTTCTTCCTAAGAGGGAAGCAGCATTAGCAAGCAGGCAGAGACAGTGGAGCATAGCGAATGGATTTCAAGTGGAGTGTCAGGGCCACTAATTCTGTGTCAGCTAACCTTTCTCTGCAGCCTACAAGAAGGGACGTATGTCTGCTCATTACCATAATCCAACACTGTCCCTCTGAGGCTTTAATTAAAAGCAGCAAGCAGAGGTAATTATTTTTTCTTCGACATGCTTATTTATGGATGAGGTTGAATCCCAGTTACCTTGTTATACAAGAGGGTGGATTGAGTCACATGTGGCCCATGAAGTGAGCAGGTATAGGGCAGGCCTGAAGTGTCCCCTGTCTGAAATGTGGTGTGTAATGACTGGTGAATTCTCACTTCCCCCAGATACAATCCTGTTTGGGCAAGAGGGGGCAGCCCTGCTTGAATAGCTCTCCGTGCGTTCTCCAGCTGTTTAATCCACAGTAATTTAGAAAGTAATGCCCCAATGGAGGGCTCTTTATTAAGCTGTCATAAAGGGACATTTCGTTTCATCTGCCACTGGACACCCCCCACATAACTATCTTTTTTATCTTAAAAACAGGTATCTGAAGTTTTTTAAAACTAGATTTGAACTATTGGCAATGTTTTACCACCACATGATCAAATCATCCATAAGTTGATTTTTTTCCTAGTAATCTCACCATAGATAGTAATTTATGTCCATTTCGTGTAGTTGAAGTAGCAGAAAAGAGATCTAATTCTTTTATTGCAAAGCCATTGGTGAAAGAAAATACTAATAATGGTTATTGTCACAATGATGACTATTAACCAATTAGTCTTACAAATGTGATTACAAGGTGGTGCTGTTTGTTTGATTAATTGTGTTTTTCCCTGTTTTGAAGCTAACAGAACCCAAAACTTTGGTCTCTCTTTTTCCCACTCATTTTCTGCATGTTCTCGGTGGTGAGTGTTGGGCTGCATTTTCCACAGAACAGAAATAAAGAAAATAACTGGTAAAGTTCATAGGATACATCTCGAACTCGGAGCATTTTTGTATGTGAGTGTGTGGCGTGCAAGACAGTCGTCTAGCTTTTCAAACGCAAATTAAAATACATTTAAAACCAAAACCGAACGTCTTCTTCTCCCCTTTTACACGCTGCCTAGTTCAATGTTTTATGCCCTATTTTCCCTCTTCTTTTTTAAAAAGTCTTTCACACAGGCGTTTCATTGTGCCAGGGGGTCACTTCGAGCAACCGCAGGGACGCAGTCATTAAAATGCAGTCCTACCTAACAATACGACGACCAGGTCCTCGGTACGCGGCTCTGATAACCGGTCGGGGTAGCTGAGGCTGCTTCCCCAGCCTCCAGCCGGTCACAATAACCGCTGAGCAATAGACTAGGATTGCTCTCGCGTGCGCGGTCGCCTTTGAGACTTAATCTTTCACAGCTCCGTCTGCTGCTCTAAGTCCCGGGTTCTCAACCTCCCAGCCGATTTTCCCCAGAGCCCTCAGCCTTCGCCCCGAAAGCTGCGGCCGTTGCTCCAGCCCTCCTCTAGGAAGGCATTGTCTGGAGGCTGCTCGCTCCCCAGTCCCTTGCTTCCCAAGCAAAGTGCTCCCCACCAGCTCCTCTCTTTGTATAATCTTGTTGGCAACCGAGATCCCCTCCACAATCCTCCCCCCCCCCTTTCTGGATAATGAGGAGAGGGGAGGACAACATTTTCCCCTCTCCCCCCATTGAACCTGCCTTCTTCCCATCCCCCTCCTACATCCATGCAAATAGACTTACCAGGAATAAGGTCAGGATCCAATCGCCCAAATAAGGCCACTTGAAACCGGCAGGACGCAAGCTAGTGTTTTCTTTTGGCGTATTTTAATCAGTGTATTTCCATGTCAAGAGATGTCGGTGTTGCTGCTTTGTAGGTTCTGCCTACAGAGAGATATGGAGAGATGGGGGAGAGAAAGAGGAGAGGAGACAAGATGAGGGAGAGAGAGAGATAGAGAGAGAGAGAGAGAGAGGAATAGAAACGGAGAGAGTTGTACAGATGGACCCGATGCAGTGACTGACTGGCACGCAGACACACACTTTTTGTTTGCTGCACATAATCTGCCCAATGACGCGTGACAGCCCACGTCCCCTCCCTTTAACTCTTTACTGGGCTGGGCGCTCCCTCCGGCGGCGCCTGCCTCCCAGCCTTTCTCCCCAGCCTGCCGGCGCCTAGCAGATACTGAGCACTTTTCCCAGAGAGGCAACACCTCTCTTAGAGCAGCCTGGCTCACCTCCTAAAGGCGTGGGGCCCTCGGGGCTGGCAGAAGGACTCAATCAAGTTCGGGATCTGCAAGAAAGGTACCCAAAGGACTGGAGATGGCCTTTTCCCATTTACCTATCATTTGGAGGATGTAAGACCAAGACCTGGACATGTAGTGTGCGCCCAAACTCCGTGCATAATCCCTCGCACTTGAGTTCGGAGGACCAGAGAGGGTTGGGAATAGCCTGGAGAGATTCTCTGTCCCTCGTATCCCCAACTGATTTGCAAGCTGGTTGCCTGGAGCTGCTAAAGCTCAAAGAGCACCCGCTCTCTTCTGAAGCGCTCACACGTCCAAGCTCTCCCGTGCCTAACTCGGAAAGGGTATGCATTGGTGTGAACTTGGCTTTGCCTAGCGTGTCCCCAGAGATAGGATAATGGGGTAAAGTGGGGTCACTACCAGACCCCGAAGGGGATTTTACAAGGCGTTCAGTTCCCAGGACCAGGGTGCCTGGGTGCTGGTGGGAGGGGACGAGGCCGAGAAGAGCCGAAGTTACTGGACTGCAGCCAGCCGGTCACTGCTTTTCCTTCCTTGGCAGGCTGTGTTCAGCGGGGTCCGGGAAGGATCCCATCACGGAGGTGGCAGGGATTGTAAGACTTAGCAGTGGAGGAGAATGTGTCAAACTACCAAATAATGGGCTCCGGAGAGCTCCTCATTTGCAGCAGCCGGTGATGGAGGAAGGAATGGATGGAGTTGCCCGCACCATCCCGACAGCCTAGTTTGCGCGCTCAACCACTTCATAGCCACTGGCTTGTCCTTTAGTGCTGAAGTGCATGTTAATGACTAGAGGTCCTTAACAGCGTGTAAATTGACTCCTTCCACTGGGGACCACCAAGCAAGATCCACTGGGGGCCACCTAGAGCTTGGGGGCTCTCCGCCTCTTTTCCTTGCTGCTCAACTCTATCAGCTCCTAGGGAAATAAAGGCCCTTGAATAGTGTGCGCGACCCCTCCATTCGCACCCACGCACACCCACGCTTCTTTCTGCCACATTCACGAGGACAGTCTCGGCTTTAGGATAAATCCGATTGTGTAGCATACTGGCTGAAGGGCAAGAGGCAGAATCATGGTTTAAGCAGGAGGCAATCCCGGGTTCCTTGCCGTAGGGGTTAAAATGAGGTGAGTGTATGGAAGGTTGGCAAAGGACATCTTCTTTTATTAGTTTGATCTTCTTGGAAATGTGAGACCTCTCTCTGGAGCTCAGGGGTGTAACAAGGCACCTGTGGTACAGAGGCGCCAAGGAACTTAAAAAAAAAAAGAAATAAAAGGGTGAGGGATTTCCCTTCTCATGGTCTACCACCCCCCCTTTTTTCTTGTCAGTACCCCTGTTCCTGGTCAGTGTCCAATCTTTTTGATTAGCTGAGACTTTTACTACAGTAAGATTCCAGGAAAGAAGGCTATGAAACCTCTTTATGTCGAGAGAAAGGGAAAAAAATCTTCCTAAACGTTCAGATTAGTCTCTGATTTTTCAAGAAACCTTGTAGAATTGCAGTTTTCATTCACCTGCAGGTGTTTCTCTTATGCAAAAACAGCTTAAAATAGTGCATCTAAGAACAGAAGTTCAGTGCAATTAAGGCCTTTGCATGTCCAAATCCACAGCTGTATTATTTACATGTAGAAATCTACAGCTGTATTTAGCTGCCAACTGACTGGCTGATTCATTGAAATATCTAGCTCATCTCTTCTTTTTTTTCTTTTATGTTTTCTCTTTCTCTCTCTGTCTCTCTGTCTGTCTCTGTCTCTCTCTCTCTCTCTCTCTCACACACACACACATACCACAAAAGCACCCCCCCCATTGCTTCTCCAATGGAAGGGTAGGAGAACTAGAAATGTTGCAAATAATGGTCTTAAACACATTAAACCTCAGGATTGAAGAATAGTTCTCAGATATTTAAGCGAATTAAGAGGAGGGGAGAAAAGAAAAGAAAAAAAAAGAAAGGGAAAGAGGGTCCACATCCAAAGAACAATAAGTTAAGTTAGGAAAGCAGTCATGAGAGGGTTGTGATTCTATAGAAACTTTAGCCTGGTACAGGTGACAATGTGCAGTAGGTGAGGGTGGAGGGGTTGAGGAACTTAATTAGTTCCATTAATGAATTAAATAGATCACCCCTTTGTGCTTGCTTTGTATTTTAGAAGATACAAAGATTGTCTCTCCTGAAAAAGGTAATCTGCTCATGCAAGTAACTTTTTAAATAATCATCTTGCTTATTGTAAACTTAAAACTATCCACTTCAAAAGGTGAACATCTAGAAAATGAACTAAATGGAAGACATTTTGCTGCCCC